TAACCTTGCCCTTCTTCTACCCCCCCCAGGGCCGCAAAAGGGACACAAGAAAGGGAGAGTGCAGAAAGCGGGCGCACGAAGAGCGAAAACGAAAGGAAGGAGAAAGAAAGCTTCTTAAAGACAATAGCATTCCGAAGAACAACGAAATCCTGTCATTTATTGAAATACTGGATGGACTCGTTGATTCCTTTTCAAATGAAGGGTTCTATCGTTCACGGTGTTCCTTAGAACAGGAGGGCCTTTCAGGACAACGCCCTCATCTGTATTCAACATAGGCAGGGCTACCTCTGATTAAGAATACACGGAACGGTTCATTCTAAGAAAATAAACTCTCTCATTTCAATCGGAGCGGACGGACCCACTCATCTATCAAGAAAAGAGCCGAAAGCATTTGGGAGGAATTAAAATACGAATGAGGGGCTATCGCAGTATCCTTTTGTCTTCTGACACGGATTCTTTGACAGAAGGGGTTCCTGCCTCTTGTTTCTTTCAAGAAAGGGAGGCTTTCGAGTGGCAAGGGGCGAACTCACGCCCACCCCAGTCTTTGGGGCCACTCTGAAAACAGCTTGGAGAGGACAGTTGCTTCTCTCTCCTTTTTCTGTTTCTCTATCTCTTGCTCCGTGTCTGTCGTTCTCCTTCCCTCCTTCTGCGAATCTGCTTCTTTCAATATCCACCAGGGCCCCGCCGTTTTCGGGTTCCTTGAAGGGGCTCCCTGAAAGGGCCTCCCAGGGGTTTGAGAGAAGACTGCGAAAGGGCAAAAGGGGACACTTCTTGAAGGATGTTGAATGGCAAGTAAAAAACGGGAGGGGCGAGGAGGAAAGAGGAAAGAACAAGAAGAAGGAAGAGGGGAAGAGAAAGGAATGATGGCAGGAAGGAGGGAAGGAGGCAGAGAAGGAGAGAGACAGAGAGAGACAGAGACAAAGAGAAGAGAGAGGGAGCGAGAGAGAGAGAGAGAGAGAGAGAGAGAGAGAGAGAGAGAGAGAGAGAGCGAGAGAGGGAGAGACAGAGAGAAAGCGAGAGCGAAAGAGAAAAAGATGGAGAGAGATGCGATGAATAAAAGAACCACACTGAGCTATTTAAAGGGTGTTAAGTCTTTTTTTAGAGAGCCCATAATTTGAACATTTTGAATAATTGAATTCAGGTCTTCATTTTTTATAGTATTTTGAATTCAGGTCTTCATTTTTTCATAATATTTGGGAGGCTCAAGATATCACATTGGGCGCAATCACTGTAACTGAACGATGCAAACAGTTTTAGTTATGGTTACCGCAAAATATTAAACTGTAGGGTGGAGACCAGAGACCTCAATCATACGATTTGTTTACAAAAATGCACTTCTTGTAGCCTGGTAAAGATCTTGAAGCATTGAAAAAGTAAGACTGCAACAACGTTAAGGAACGTTGTTGTTTTGCAAAACCTTAAAGCACCATCATTGCTTTAACGAAAAGGTTCGATTTGAACCTTGATATGTCCTCAACATCAAAAAACGAAAGGTTTGTTTATCAACCTGGTGCGCCTGCATTTTTGCGTAAACCCTAGTGTGTCCTAAACTTCAAAAACGACGGGATTTTTGTAAGCCTGGGTGTGCCCCCATCCTCGAAAACGAAGGTGTGTTTGTAAACACGTTCAAGCGAAAGGGTTTTAATTTTTTGTAAACCCTAGCATAGGGTTTTTGTCAGCCCTAGCGTGCCCTCAACCTCAAAAACGAAAGCTCCTTTTAAATATTAAAATCTCTTAACATCCTTAAAACCTAGAAAATTTCAGCGTAGAAGAAGGCAAGGATTTTTCAAATTTAAAAAGGGGTCCCGGGGTCTCAGGGTTAGGGGGTAGGCGCTGAGGCTCTTAGGAGCTTAGGAGCTTAGGGTTTAGGGTTTAGGGTTTAGGTTTAAGGATTTCGGAGCCTAGGAGTATAGGGTTTGATTTAAGGTTTAAGGGTAGGCGCTTAGGCGCTTAGGAGCTTAGGAGCTTAGGAGGGTTTAAGGATTTAGGGGGTAGGCACTTAGGTGCTTAGGACCTCAGGAGCTTAGGGTTTAGGGTTTAAGGGTTTAGGGGTTTAGGGGTTTAGGGGGTAGGCGCCGAGGAGCTTAGGAGCTTTGGAGCTTAGGGTTTAAGGATCTACTAGTGCAGGGGGTAGCTTAGGAACTGGTTTAAGGTTTTAAGGGTTGAAGAAGTAGGCGCTTAGGCGCCTAGGAGCTTGATTTAAAATAGAAGAAAATCCTTAACATCCGTAAAAAAAAAATCCGAGGCGCCGAATTTGGTTTTAGGAGAAGCCCCAAACGATTTAAATTTTTAAAAATCCTTAAAATCCATACAAAAATAAAATCAAAATAATTTATTTTTTAAGGATTTTAAGGATTTTATTCGATTTTAAAATGCATAAAATCCTTAAAAAATAAATTCGGCCTCTGATTTTATTTTTTAAGGATTTTATGCATTTTAAAATAGAAGAAAATCCTTAAAATCCTTAAAAAAATAAAATCCGAGGCCGAATTTGGTTTTAGGAGAAGCCCCAAACGATTTAAATTTTTAAAAATCCTTAAAATCCATAAAAATAAAATCAAAATAATTTGTTTTTTAAGGATTTTATTTGATTTTCAAATGCATAAAATCCTTAAAAAAATAAATTCGGCCTCTGATTTTATTGTTTAAGGATTTTATGCATTTTAAAATAGGAGAAAATCCTTAAAATCCTTAGAAAATAAAATCCGAGGCCGAATTTGGTTTTAGGAGAAGCCCCAAACGATTTAAATTTGTAAAAATCCTTAAAATCCATAAAAAATAAAATCAAAATAATTTATTTTTTAAGGATTTTAAGGATTTTATTCGATTTTAAAATGCATAAAGTCCTTAAAAAATAAATTCGGCCTCTGATTTAGCATTTTAAAATAGGAGAAAACCCTTAAAATCCTTAAAAAATAAAATCCGAGGCCGAATTTTGTTTTAGGAGAAGCCCCAAACGATTTAAATTTTTAAAAATCCTTAAAATCCATAAAAAATAAAATCAAAATAATCTATTTTTTTAAGGATTTTAAGGATTTTATTCGATTTTCAGATGCATAAAATCCTTAAAAAAACAAATTCGGCCTCTGATTTTATTTTTTTAAGGATTTTATTAAGGATTTTCTCCTATTTTAAAATGCATAAAATCCTTAAAAGATAACATCAGAGGCCGAATTTATTTGTTTAAGGATTTTATGCATTGTAAAATCGAATAAAATCCATAAAATCCTTAAAAAAATAAATTATTTTGATTTTATTTTTTATGGATTTTAAGGATTTTTAAAAATTTAAATCGTTTGGGGCTTCTCCTAAAACAATATTCGGCCTCGGATTTTATTTTTTAAGGATTTTAAGGATTTTCTCCTATTTTAAAATGCATAAAATCCTTAAACAATAAAATCAGAGGCCGATTTTTTTTTTAAGGATTTTATGCATTTGAAAATCAAATAAAATCCTTAAAATCCTTAAAAAATAAATTATTTTGATTTTATTTTTATGGATTTTAAGGATTTTTAAAAATTTAAATCGTTTGGGGCTTCTCCTAAAACCAAATTCGGCCTCGGATTTTATTTTTTAAGGATTTTAAGGATTTTCTTCTATTTTAAAATGCATAAAATCCTTAAAAAAATAAAATCAAAGGCCGAATTTATTTTTTAAGGATTTTATGCATTTTAAAATCGAATAAAATCCTTAAAATCCTTAAAAAACAAATTATTTTGATTTTATTTTTGTTGGATTTTAAGGATTTTTAAAAATTTAAATCGTTTGGGGCTTCTCCTAAAACCAAATTCGGCGCCTCGGATTTTATTTTTTACGGATTTTAAGGATTTTCTTCTATTTTAAAATGCATAAAATCCTTAAAACATAAAATCCCAGAAGTCCTTGAGGTCGAGGCCAAGCGCAGCGCCAAATAGACCCTAAAGGTCCTACGTACTTAGGGGTTTAGGGGTTTAGGGGTTTAGGGGTTTAGGGGTTTAGGGGTTTAGGGGTTTAGGGGTTTAGGGTTTAGGGGTTTAGGGGTTTAGGGGTTTAAGGTTAGGGGTCTAGGGTTTACGGCTTACAGTTTAGCCCTTAAGCTATTACGGGAACCGCTTCTAGGTCGTCGAGACACACGGGGAAGGGCTCGTGTTTGGGGTGTTTTGGTTTGAGGTTTTTGGGATGCAGGTTTTAGGGTTTAGAGTCTAGGGTTAGGGTTTCGGGTTCAGAGGAAGTTTTGGGGTATTACTGTCTGTGTGGTCCTCTACACATGAACCCCGCAGTCCTGCCTATGTGGTCTTATTACCTTGGGCGGTTGTTTACCATCAGCCCTCATCCCAAGTTTGCGCGCCTAAGCCCTAAGCCCACAAACTTTTCTTCAGGAGTGATTAGAGAAGGGGTTTAGGGTTCAGGGTTCTTGGTCTACGGTTTGAGGTTTAGGGTCTAGGGAGTCTACTGTTTGTAGGGCAACTCGACACCTCCCAAAACCCTGTATATATATACACACACACGGTCGTGGCTTTTTGAGTTTCAGGGGGGTTTATCAGTGGTTGCGGAGTGGGCATCTCCTGCTGCTTCTGGCCCCAGAAGCTATGAGACTCCTGTAGGGTTCAGGGCTACTCGGATCCCTACGGTACCTCTGTTGTTGGGGTTTAGGGTTTAGAGTTTAAAGGTTAAGTTTTAAAGGTTAATTAAAGGTTTAGGGGTCAGGGTTAACAAGAGCTGTCGTGTTTTTTGTTTCCTAGGTCAGGGGTTAGTATTCTTTGGGCAATGCAGGGAAACAAGTGCACTGAGTACATCCCTTTATCCTCCAACAGACAGGAGCTCAACCCGCAAAATCGAGGTAAAAGAACTTCCGAAATCACTGGACCCTAATAATCAAACCCCACACCCTGCACTCTAAACCCGAAACCCTAAACCCTAAACCCTAAACCCTACACCCTAAACCCTAAACCCTAAACCCTAAACCCTAAACCCTAAGGCCTCGGCCCACACCCCTGAATTTCCAGCGCCAAAGTGCTGCCATGGCCTTGGGAACACGCGCCTTCCTTGGGCGGCCCGGCCCCTTTGTCGTGTTTAGGACCCTACTGGGTTTAGTGTTTAGGGGTTTAGGGTTTAGGAGGGTTTAGGGTTGAGGGTGCAGGGTACAATAGGGTTTCGGGTTCAATGTTTAGGGTTCAGGCCTTTGGGAGACAACCTTCAAGGTTTCTTCTTTGGGTTTCTAAGAAGCCCTATATTCTGGCATTTCTTCAGCCAGGTTTCGGGTTTTAACGGCCAGCCCAGTGAAGTGCCCAAAGACGTACTTTTTTTGTCGGTTGCGGAAGCATCCCATAAGGGCTTGTGAAGTAGCAACCTGCAAAGAAGTAATGTTGGGGTCCTAGACCCTAACCTCTTGACCCTAGTCCAGTACTTAGAAATAATCAAGCTTCACAACGCCAACCATCCAGAAGGCATGGAGTCGGATGGAGCGAGAGAGACAGAGAGAAAGTGTGATTTGTTTTTTGATGATGCTTGCTTTCGGTGCTCTTGGTGTTTCTGATGCTGTCCCCTGATGAATGTTGCGCGACGTTGAGCCTCTAAACCTCGACCTTAGCACTGGAATCTAAGCTTCTGTAAATTCCACACCCCTTTTGAGAAGCCCTCACCCTGAAGCACTATGTGACAGAAGCACTATTTGACCTTGAGCCCTGTGTGAAGGGTTTCTGGTCCAACAGCAGGGTTTAGGGAGGATTGAATAGCCTAGAGAGGCTTAGGGCCCTAGTTTTTTTTTTGGTGGGGATTTGTTGTGCATTATTTCTTTTTACACATTGTTCGCGTGTGTTTTTTGTTTAAGGTTTTTTGTGTTTAAGTTTTGCATGTTTTTTGTTGTGAAAAAGTGCACTCCCACAGCGTCCCATTTTCTTTTTTATAGGGCTTAAAGGGTTGGCGAGGTACTTGTCCCCTTATTGGCTTTCATAGGATCATATTTAGGAAGAATCGGTAGAGGGTTTAAGGGCCATGTTGGTCCTTCCCAGGTCTTCCCACACGGCATGATGTTCCACGCAAAGACATTCTTCATGGGGTAGTCAAGTGAAAAATGTTTCTTCGGTTAAATACCCACTTGATGTACATACACATGTGCACAACAATGTTTAAGAAGCAACAATATTCGACATTCCGTACCGACTTTTGAGAAAGAAGCTTCTGTCTTGAACCTTGGTCCCGAATTAAACGAGCATCGACAGCGTCGGATGCCGCGCCTCTGTGAGTTAAACCCAAATCCAAGTGTAGATTGAAGGCTTGTTGGGGGCGAAAGAAACCGTGAAGCTGAGTACGTCCAAAAGGAACACTGTCGTTTCAGACTGTGTGCTTGCGCGGTACTTGCTATGCTGGCGGGGAAGCAGTGAATCTTGACAAAACTGGCAGTCGAGCCGTAAAAACCATGTACGATACACTCACAACGCGCAGAACGCTGGCGAGTAGAGCGCTTAACCTGAGAAGAAGAACCCCCCCCCCCCCCGCCCCGCCCAACATAACGCGCGGGCGTTGTCGATTAAAGATGCGCCGAGAGCTCCACGCTCTTGTCTGCCAGGAGTCTTTATGGGCTCGTCGAACCTTCGCGTTCCTCTGAGGGACCCCCCCCAGAAGGGTTTTGGGCTCATATACCTTATGAGCAATTCTAGTAGTATAGATATAGGGTAGATGACCCCCAATTTTCGGATTCATTTGGTCCCCAGGGTTTGGTTCCCAAGGTTTGGATTCCGAACTAGGCCGCTAAGCTCCTTGATAAACACCTTCACATTGACTGAGCGGCTGGCAACTCATCGTCGGAATGTTCAGCTAAAGCGTTGGGGCTGAGCACCCGCTACTGCTGTTTAGGACCCTATATATCTGTATGGTCCATGCGGGAACTATAAACATACAAACTCGGTCACGTGTGATGAACTGATAAGCCAAACACCTACATGCCAGACCGAGAAGTGCCTAAGCACAAAATGTGCTAACGACACAGTCATGTTTGTGTGAATTTGTCTTTGCACATGAGGTCTAAGACGATTGTTATCCGAGACACACTGGCCGGATGGTACACCGAAGCGCTTCAGAGGGAAGGACTCTTGCATGACACCTTCGACAGGGCGTTTAGGTTTCACGATTGCAAAAACTAGCGCCGCTCCTCTCAAGATTCAGTGCCCTGAGAGAATCGGAGTGGCGCTGGAGGTGCAGTCGATTGTTGTGGTTTGACTGGTGCCGTGTTGGAATTGCACGCTACTGGGTCATGACCCAAAACTCCCAACTGAGCCGAGTTTAAGCCCTAAACGCTGCAGGACGCCTGGAAGAATTGGATCAATTGGGATGCGCCTTTCCAGGGCCTTTCAGACGAACTGAATCGGCAGCGGCGATTTTTCTGGGAGGTCGATGAAAAGGCAGGGCACAGGGATCAGGGTTTTCCTTTGCGTTTTTTTGTGGGCTCGGGTTGCGGCTTATACGGCTTGAGGTTGTGCTGTAACTAGGACCGGGAGTAGGCCCTTATTTGCTTTTTTAGGGTTGTATAATCCCCTTGAAGCCAAAAAGGGTACCCTTGCTATTCCTAGGCTACAACCGGGTCTAGGTAATTAACTGCAGACAACTCATATGTTGGGATATCGGCTGACGCCTCCGCAGGGTGCCCTGTGGCGCTTGGAAATTGACCAGCCGGGGCAGAGATTTGGGCAGATGCGCCACGCAAAGGTCGTGGACGCTGCTTGGACGCAAAGGCCCATATGTGTGTGTGTGTGTGTGCGCGCGTGCGTGCCGGGTTTCGTTAATTATAGATAACCAATTTCAACCTCCCACGCCCCCGAACTCCGCAATCCCACCAGTCATCTGAATGCACACAACCCAGAATAGATCCAACAGTCCTGAATAGGGACTATAGCACACCCCATTATAATCCCTATAAGGACTGTCAGTATAAGGGGGAACATGCCAAGGAACAGGGACTTACATTGTCTATGTTGGGCGTTTCAAGTGTGATGGGGGGGGGGAGCAAACTCTTGCCTGCTGGAGCCTTGAATTGGACCCGTAAACCCTAAACCCTAATTCCACCCCAACGAATGCCCTCAGGCTTAGGGCTTCGGATGACATGTATGGGGTTCTACAGGCCAGTAAGGTGAGGGTTTGTTCGTTTTGGAACCTAAACCCTCCTAAACGCTAAACCCTAAACCCTGAACCCGAAGTCTCCAAGGTTGTTGTTTGTCATCACTCTCCCTTGGGATGTTCCCCCTTGTACTAACAGTCCTTAATAGGGATCATAGTACCCCTACTACGATCCCTATTCAAGTTAAACCCTAAACCCTAAACCCTAAACCCTAAACCCGATACACGGGCTCCTCATGAGCCTGGAGTTTTGGCACCAAGGACTTCTTCGCGCACCTCCAGCAGAACAGGCCGATCTGCGTCACAAGCCCTGAGCCCGAAAAGTGTTTAGGGTTTAGGGTTTAGGGTTTAGGGTTTAGGGTTTAGGGTTTAGGGTTTAGGGTAGAACCCCCCAACTAGGGTCCGGAGGGCCAGAAGCAAAGGACTTGTGGGAAGAGAGTCTGCAGCTCCCTACGTGCAAAACCAAAGCTAGGTCGCCGCCAAGACCTCACTAAGCATCTATTTGCCACCTAAAAATGTGTGGGGAACCTCATTCCCAACTTCCCCTCTAAGAATATCTAAGAATCACGAGGCCACGCCCTGAGGCCTAAACCCTAAACCCTCAACCCCAAACATCCCGAAACTCCCTAAACCCTAAAGCCTAACCGGCCCTGTCCAAAGCCTAACCGGCCCTGTCCCTAAACCCCCCCAAGCCGGAAGCCCCCTACCGGGAGGTTCATAACCCTGTTTAGAGTACTTCTTACCCTACGCCCACAGGACAGGGCATTTCGAAGATGAGTTCCCCTTCGTGCCATGGAGACTATAAAGTTGATGGCGTGCAAGACTTTCAGATTTTGGGCTTAAGGTTCAAGGTTTAGGGTTCAGGATTTAGGGTTAGGCTTCAGGGTTCAGGAAAACTGGGGTTCGAAGTCCAGGTTTTTATGGGGATTAGCGCTGGCGTTTTGGGGTGCAGGGTTGAGGTGTTTTGGGGGTCTTAGTGCTGTCAGAGGGACAGAGATCACAGAAATCCGATCAACCATGTGAAAGGGTTTAGGGTTTGAGGCTTAGGACTCCTTACAGCAGGCGCATCCTCCAAGAGTTTAGGGTCTACAGGGTTTAGGGTTTAGGGCTTAGAGCTTAGGGTTGCGAAGTCTCGTGGCGATTAGAGGATGGGCCTCAGATGGAGAGTTCTCTAAACTTGGGCCCCTGTTTGGGTAGCCTAAGTAGGAGGGGCCGCCTGATAGTAAGGATCCTAATTTAGATAGAGCACCATCTCTTCCCGAATAGATGCCATACACTAGCTTCTGCCAGCCCTCCATCGGCCCTGTTGTTTGCTAAGGAATGTGCAATGTCCGGTGCAACTCGAAACACGCGTGCGAAATCTCTGAACCTCCGGCTCCCCCTTCCCGCGGCCCTCGCACCCTAAAGTCTCTTAAGGAGCCGAAAACCTGCGTTTTGTGAGTCATGATGATGAAGCCAAACCCTAAGATCTAGGGTACAGCAATATCAAACACGTCGTTGGTATGGTGAAAGGGGTGTACCCTAGGCCCCAGGCCCAAACCCAAACCTAAACCCTAAACCCATAAGCCAAACACCCTAAACCCCAAACCCATGAACCTAAACCTCAAACCCTAAACCCTGAACCCTAAACCCTGAACCCCACACCCTATACCCTAAACCCTAAACCCCAAACCCTAAACCCTAAACCCTCAACCCTCAACCCTAAACCCGAAACCCTAAACCCTGCCCGGCTCTAGGTCTCCCTGAAGACTCATGAGAGCTACTACGTTCGCTGGGCGGTGGCGAGGCGCCGCCTGCGTCGCGAGGCGCCTGTGGCAGGGCCCTCGGTGATGTTTTGGGGTTTAGGGTTTAGGGTTTAGGGTTTAGGGTTTAGGGTTTAGGGTTTAGGGTTAGGGTTTAGGGCTTATGGGGCTTGGGGTCTTGGACTGTTGGACCTTCAATGACACAGTTCTTCAAGCTTTCATGGGCTGGGTTTCTTATGAACCCCACTGTAGAAGAAATCAAAGGATCCGGTACCGAGGAAACCTTCGAGAAGCTTAGGGAGCCTGAGGGAGTAGTTGGGAGTATTCGGGAACCTTAGTTTACATACCTCCGCCCTTGAACTTTCCCCTGGTTGCTTGGGAAGTTAGTTTTGGGGAGCGAGTTGTTTCGGATATATTTCTCGGGGCGGGGTTCAGGTTTAGGGTTTAGGGTGTAGGGTTTAGGGTTTAGGGTTTAGGGTTTAGGGTTTTCAGGGTGAGCTACAACAGTGCAACGGGAGCCCCATGATGCGCCTGGCAAAGGCTTCGGGATTTAGGATTCGCACCACTCTGCTACCCTAAACACTCAACCCTCAACATAAAACCCCTGTTTTGGGATGTTCCCCGTTATACTAACAGTCCTTAATAGGCATTATCGTACCTCCTATTATCATCCCTCTGAAGGACTGTAAAGTATAAGAGGGGGCATCCCAACCCCCTGTTTTAGGGTTTAGGGTTTCGGGTTTAGGGTTTAGGGTTTAGACTTTAGGGTTCGGCTCTGAAGTGCACGCAGCCTTTAGATGCCCACCCCTACTTGGAGGTTCAATACCTCTTAGCAGATTTTAGGCTTCAGCGTTTAGGGATTTAAAGGGCCCTAAACCCTAAACCCTAAACCCTAAACCTTAAACCCTAAACCCGGTTCTCCCGGAGGTGTCGTTCCTTTCGAGGCGTCTGGGTTTTGAGGAATCGAGGTTTCGGCTTTCGAGGGCTTAGGGTGAACCTCACGTCCGAAACCCTTCCAGGCCAGCCCAATGAGTCGATCTCAAGAAGATGCCGACCCAGGTTTAGGGTTTAGGGTTTAGGGTTTAGGGTTTAGGGTTTAGGGTTTAGGGTTTAGGGTTTAGGAGCCGACCTTTCCAACCTGGGGGGGGGGGGGGGGGGCTCCTGGAGCCCAGAGACGTGCCATTAATCATGTGGTTGTCAAAACTTAAATCAGTGTTAGGGATCCTTTTTACTTTTTGGGTCATGGGCTTTCTTATATATAAACAAAAAGGATCCTTTTTTCTTCCTAGGGGAACAGGGATGAAGAACAATTATGATCCCTTTTGGGGTGCCCTAAATATTAGGTGCCGTATTATACAAGGGACCCAAAACAAGGGACCATCATATTTGACAGCCACCCATGTACTACAACCTCAGGACCCAGAGTAGGCCCTTCTTCTCTTTTTGCTAGGCTTTAGGTTCTCTATAAACCCTTTAACCCAAACCCTAAACCCTAAACCCTAAACCCAAAACCCTAAAACCCTAAAACCCTAAAACCCTAAACCCTAAACCCTAAACCCTAAACCTGTTTTTATTATTCCTGGGATATTCTTGGGCCCAGTAGTATAACATGAAGTCGCAGTTTGGGTCCCTAAGCCCTACAACTCCAACCCCTAAACCCTATAGACCCTAAACCCTTTACCCTATAGACTTAGACTCTAAAGCCCACTTGGGAGTTTCCGAAAATAGGGGTACCCTTATAATATGGATCATACTATTTTGGGGTACATTAAGGGTACCCCCCTAATTCGGGGACGTACCCAATTCTAGTCGTGGACGTGAGCAACCTCCCAGGTCTTCAACGACCTGCAAGAGGATCAGCTGGCGAGGTCCCCAGCTCTGGGTTTTCGGGTCTTCGGGATTTCGGGATTTGGCTGTGGTGGAGGTGTGGGGGCGCTGGGGGAGGGAGGGGGGGAGGGCTTAAGCCTGCGAGGCGTAGGTTTTTGTCATCCTGTATGTTTTTGTTTGTTGCTTTGGGTGTGTTGGTTTCGCTGGCTTATGGTTGGGTCTAGGCTTTATATAGACTTCATGGGCTTTAGGCTTTATGTCATCTTCCTTTGCGGGTACTTCTGGCTCAAACCCTATACCCTCAGCCTTAATACCCCTTAACCCTCAACCCTAGACCCCTTAACCCGATAAACCCTCAACCTTAAATTGCCCTGAACCATTGATCCTACACCCAGGACCCAGAGTAGGCTGAGAAGGCCCTTATTTCTTGTTAAGTAGGATCTAGGTTCCCTTAAAAGCCCCTTCGTTCAACCGAAAAGGGTCCTAGCTTTATCTTGGAGACCCTAACCCCTCGTATGGGGACCCCAATTTTGGGGAAATGACCAGTCCGGTCCTTTACTTTGGTTGGGTTTCGGGTTTCCGGGCTTCTGGTTTAGGGTTGGTGTTTTCGGGTTTGGGGCTTAAGGTTTATGACGTTTGGGTGTTGGGTTGCGGGCTTAGGGTTTTCAGGTTTTGGGCTTCGGGCTTCAGATTTGCGACAGGGATCCTAAGATCTGTGGAAGGTTCCTTGCTTCCGGAATATGGGTATACACCCGGATGCGAAAACTCTGACTCCTAAGCATTCATCCTTCGACCCTTGCAACCTAAACCCTATCCCCAACCCCAAACCCTAGTCCCTATGCCCTACACCTAAACCCTAATCCTGAGACCTCAGCCCCCAAACCCGATTCCTTTTCGGGTTTAGGGTTTTGGGTTTAGGGCCCCCCCCCCCCATGCTTTTACATGAAACCCATTCCAAAGGCCTGCAGCCCTCAGCCCCAAACCCCAAATCACAACTCCTTCAACCCTCAGCCAAAAGACGCTAAACCCTAAACCCTAAACCTTAAACCCTAAATCCTAAACCCTAAACCCTAAACCCTAAACCCTATAACACGAACCTTAAACCCTAAACCACACCCTAAAGCCCAAACCCTTTTCGAGGTCCATCTTGTTGCCGGGAGCGGCTTGGTTCCATCCCTGACGACGCCGTTTGAGGCTTCGGCATTGAGGCCTGTTTAGGGTTTAGGGTTTAGGGTTTGGGGCTTTGGATATGGGGGTTCAGGGTTTACGGGCTTAGTGTGCAGAAGTTTTCGGGGTTTAGCAAGCTGAGGGAGTTTCGGGGTAAGGGGGGTGCAGAGTTTCGGGTTTTATGGGCTCGGGGGGTTTACCAGCCAGTTTAGGGTTTGTTCATTCTTCAGCATTTCGTTTTTTGGGGGTGATGCTGCAATTGGCTTGAACCCTAAACCATAAACCCTGACCCTGAAGCCTAGCCCCTTCCTGTAGCAAACCCTAAACCCTAAACCCCAAACACAGAAATACTACAGATTCACGACCTAGATCGACTTTTCAGATTCTGGGGACCCCGGGAGGCTTCTCTTTTCTGTTTTATTTTTGTTGTTGGGGGGGGGGGGGTGTTACTTTGGAATCAGAAAGTCCTCGGTCGAATTTGTTCAGGGTGTGTCCGCAGTTGCGCAGGCTGTCAAGCGACGGCCGCGGCTTGCCAGCATTCTGCTGTCACTTCAACTGAAGATTCCGCTGTGGCGCGAGAATTGTCTACCCCAACATTTTCACCCCCCAAAGAACAGCACCCACAAGAGTTTAAGACCTCACGAAGTCGGGAGCATTTCGGGTGATTCTATCTCAACAAGTAGATTGAAACCAACTGAAGGCCCTTGAATCCCCGACCTCGCGATGGAGGCAAAACCCTAGACCCTATAGAGTTGTATGCCAAGCCAAGCCCGAACCCCAAACCTCGCACCCTAAACCCGAAACCCGAAACCCTAAAACCCTAAAACACTAAACCCTGATTCAACCCCCTAACCCCTTAACCCCTACAGCTTCCGAAGCTTCAACCTGAGGTTGCCATGCACACAAGCCCCAAATTCTTCCAGCTTCAATCTTAATCTACTATTTGCTCAAGAACCCTCCCGAAAAATAGAAAATAGAAGATACAAATCCCTACATTAACCTTGTAAGGAAGAATATCTTGTTGGGGGGGGGGGAAGATTTCTCCGCCTCCCCCATCCCCACCCACGAAAAGAAATGCCATCATAGTCAGCACACATACCAATCTTGCTATATTCATTCTTTCCAGGGCCCCAAAACCGACCCCCAACTTGGAACTACCCACATAGACTCCTTTTTCCTTTTCCGGGGTTGAGGTGGGGGTTGGGAGGATATAGCTCCTCATCACTAAAGCCCTAAAGCCTATGGGTTTAGGGTGCCAGGTTCAGGGCCTAGGGTTTAGGGGTTCCAGGTTTAAGCCTGAAACCCCCAAAACTCCAAAGCCTTTAGGTGGGTTGAGGAGGAGTTCTTCCCTAAACCCTAAACCCTAAACCCCAAACCCTAAACCCTAAACCCTAAACCCTCTTGTCTGGAATTGTCCAGGCCTTCTGCACCCGGTGACGACGCTCCGTCGCGTCGAGGAGCCGCAAGCTCAGTTGGCTCTACCTGGGACCCCCTTTTAGGGTTTAGGGTTTAGGGTTTAGGGTTTAGGGTTCAGGGTTTAGGGTTTAGGGAAATCCCTACCTGGGACCCTATTTTTACCTACGGTTCAGTAGTAAGTACCTCGAGGTTTTATAGGGTTTATAGGGCTTATAGGGCACTTGTAGGGCTTATAGGATTTACCTGGGACCCTATATTTACCTACAGTTTAGTAGGAAGTACCCCCTATTTAGTCAGCGCAACCCTGAAAACTGTAGGTAAACAAAGGGTCCCAGGTAGGGCTTTCAGATTTAGTTTAGAGGGTTTAGGATTCGGGTTTTGGGTTTTGGGTTTAGGGTTTTGGGTTCAGGGTGCTGGAGGGTTTTAGCCTCAAGTGTTTAGGGCTCTTGCCGTCTGGCTAAAATGCGGGAGTTGGACCAACATCCTAGAAACTGGGTTTAGGGTTTAGGGTTTAGGGTTTAGGGTTTAGGGTTTAGGGTTTAGGGTTTAGGGTTTAGGGTTTAGGGTTTAGGGTAAGCTAGAGCGTTTTGGTGCTGCGGGCTTTAGTCGTGTCAGGAGTCAGAGCGGCAGAGATTATGCAGTTGTACTGCGGGGCTCAGGGCAAGTGGGGAAGTAGGACAGGTCGCAGCATGGGGGCAGATCTGGATCTTCGGCGATTTTTTTGGTTCCTGACCCTAAACCCTAAACCCTAAACCCTAAACCCTAAACCCTACACCCTAAACCCACTTCATATTCAGAACCCCCCGGCCACCACCCCCCAGGCCCCCCATGCCCCCATGCCCCCCCATGGTCGTACCTGTGCGGCCCCACAACCTGAGCAGGGTTTAGGGTTTAGGGTTTAGGGTTTAGGGTTTAGGGGTTCAGGCTTTGACTTCAGCAAAGGAGGAACTACTTGGAGGTAGGTTCACGGTACTGATTCACCAGCTATAACTGTACTTATAACTGTACTCATAACCAATTATAAGAGGTTCACGGTACTTATTAGCCAGTTATAAGTGTTTATGAGTACAGTTAGAAGTACAGTTATAGATGGTGAAATAAGTACCGTGAACCTCCAAGTAGCTGCCTTTCCGCGCACAGGAGTTCGCATCAAGGGGGGTTTAGGGTTTAGGGTTTAGGGTTTAGGGTTTAGGGTACGTTCTGCTAACTGGAATTTGCAATTACGGGGGGGGGGGGGGGGGGGATTTCTAAAGAATGCAAGGTCAACACTGGTCTAGGATGCAGAGTAAGCCCTTATTCCTTTTTTGGGGGGGGCTTTCTCCCCTTCTCAACCCGTGCAAGCCCTAGGGCTTAGGGTTTGGCATAAATTGCAAACAAGCCGCTGCCGCCGAGGTCTGCAGGAGGCTCTGTGACACGAGTTCGCAACTTGACATACCCATGGTGTCCCCCCCCCCCCCCTCCTCAGGAATCTAAGGTTGAGTCGAAAAGGTTTAGTGAGTAGGGTTTATGTTCGTGCCCCTTGTGGGGTTTGCATCGGAAAGAGTTTGTGAGCAAGCATCCAGTTTCAGTGCCTTTGGTTCTCTTGGTCTTAAAGGCCTGAACCCTGAACCCTAGCCCCCGAAACCCTGAACCCTAAAACCCTAAGACCCTAAAACCCTGACACCTACAACGAACTTTAAGACCCTAAACCCCTAAGACCCTAAAACCCTAAACCTTTAAAGCCTTTTCCCCCTGGAACTTTAAGACCCGAAGACCTAAACCCCAAAACCCCAAACCTTACTGTACACCCTCAGCCGAGTTTAGGGGCCTCCACACTCCACTCCAGAGACTGCTAGACAACCAGGTGAAAGCAACCCCAAGCCCTAAGTTTATTAGATCTGAAACCTCAAACCCTAAACCTTAAACCCCAAACCCTAACCCCAAACCCTACACCCTAAACCTTATAAACCCCAAACCCCAAACCCTCAAATTGACACAGGCGAAAGCTACTTAGCCAGCTTGGACGTGGTCACCTCACAGCGCCTCTTGGATTGCTGCGAAGAGGCGCCCGACCTCCGCTCCTGACCATGGAAAGATACAAAAAAATCAATGTTACAAAATATAATTCTTTTGGATAATATAATTCTTTGCATATTATTGTCCTTCTGCTTAGTATAGCGCCACATGAACCCGAAGAGTGGGCGTCGTATTTTGCTACACAAAGGGTTTAGGGTTTAGGGTTTGGGGTTATAGGGTTTAGGGTTTAGGGTGTCGGGCTTTTAGGGTTTTATTGTTGTTAGGTTTAGGGTTTAGGGTGTAGATGTACTGCCTATTCGGGTATATGAATCATAAGCCATACACCCATTTCGGGTCATATGGTCCCCCAGGTAGGTGTTGAGTCTGGCTCGACACTTGGGGCCTTTGGGACTCAGGCTGCAGTGGTTGTTCAGGGTTTAGGGTTTTGGGTTTTGGGTTTAGGGTTTGGGGTTTGGGGCTTAGGGCTTAGGGTTTAGGGTTTAGGGCTCGTTTTTTTAAAGCAACCCGCTTGTCCTGTATTGCTGGAGCTCGACTCGAAACGCTGACCATGAACCCTATTTGTGGTTCATTGCGTTTTTCAGGTAGCCAGTAAACCCCACAAATGCCTCAAATGAAGTGCTTAACCACCAAACCCCCACACCCAAAGCCAAAAAAACCCTAGATCCTTGGCCCTCAGTCCCAAACCCTAAACCCCAAACCCCAAACCCCAAACCCCAAACCCTAAACCCTAAACCCCAAACCCTAACCCTAAACCCTAAACCCTTCAATCCCCCCCCCCCCCCCCCCCCCCCCTGGCCTGCCAGACCTCCGTCTCCTCCGCTGCAGAGTCGGGGCTCCACCTCCTCTGGGGGGGTGAAACGTTCCCTCTGCTCTTGGAGTTGGAGTGAGTTTAGGGTGTTTAGGGTGTTTAGGGGGTTTAGGGGGTTTAGGGTTTAGGGAGTTTAGGGTGTTTAGGGGGTTTAGGGTGTTTAGGGGGTTTAGGGTGTTTAGGGTGTTTAGGGCGTTTAGGGCGTTTAGGGTGTTTAGGGTGTTTAGGGTGTTTAGGGTTTGGGGCGACATGAACCTACAGCGAGTTTACGGGTGGTGGGGGGGCTTGCCCTGTAGCACAGCAGGGAAAGGTTTGGAGGGTTTAGGGTTTGGGGTTTAGGGTTGAGGGTTTAGGGTTTTGGGCTGTTCTTAGGGGCTGGTGTAGCTGGGAGCCCCAGTAACTCTATGGGAAGTTCTCAGAATCAAGTTCCCTTTTTGGGTTCCCCCACATAGTCCTTACCCTTGAGGCCCCTAAGCCCTAAACCCTCAACCCACATAACCCACATAACCCTAAACCCTAAACCTTAAACCCTAAACTACATGGGGCTTAACATCTAGAACCCCACTGCCGGAAGAGCCGGAGCCGGATGCCACCGCGTGCGCGAGGCAAAACAAAGGGGGCACACTCCGTGTTCGCGAGCTGGCTTCCCGAAGTTTAGGGTTTAGAGGGCTTAGAGGGTTTAGAACGTTTAGGGTTTAGGGTTTAGGATTTATAGGGTTTATAGGGTTTAGAGGGTTTAGAGGGTTTAGAGGGTTTAGAGGGTTTAGAGGGCTTAGAGGGTTTAGAGGGTTTAGAGGGCTTATGGGTTTAGAGGGCTTAGAACGTTTAGGGTTTGGGGTTTAGGGTTTTGGGTTTAGGGCTTCGGGTTTAGGATTTAGGGTTTAGAGGGTTTAGAGGGCTTAGAGGGTTTAGAGGGTTTAGAGGGTTAGAGGGCTTAGAGGGTTTAGAGGGTTTAGAGGGCTTATAGGGTTTATAGGGTTTGTAGGGTTTGTAGGGTTTGTAGGGTTTGTAGGGTTTGTAGGGTTTGTAGGGTTTGTAGGGTTTGTAGGGTTTAGGGTTCTCTAAGGCTTATGGGTATTGTTTAGTAATCCGAAACCCTCAACCCTAAACCCTAGGCCCAAAATCAGGGCACAGAGCTTGGGGTTTCAGATTTGCGTTCTGAGGAAGGCTCTTTTGTTTCAGCGTCGGGGGGGTTTTAGAGGTTCAGACCTAGACTTTTGGAGCCCTGCGCCTCTTACCACCTTGCATGTTCGCCTCCTTTGCACCGCAGCCGCAGCCCACGCGTGGTCAGATGATCCGACCCTAAGAGACGGTCGAGTCTTCGGGGATTTCGAGGTTGAAGGTTCTTAGCCCCCGGCTGCTGACTTCTTTTAACGCCATCAGAATAAACTCCAAAGCTGGGCTGTGTGCTACTTGATGTGTTTGCTGCTAATCTCAACTCCTTACACTTTTTGGTTGACAAACCTTTGCATCCTTAGGGACCAAATGAACCCTAAAATCGGGATCATGTACCCTGCAATTACTAATATAGTTCCTACTAAGGTCATATGAACCATAAGCCCTTTCAGGGCTGGGATGATATACAGGTTGGCCCGAACCCTAAACCCTAAACCCTAAACCGATTCCTCGTTTGGACCTCCCGCTGAGGAAGTACTGCGTCGCCCCCGTCACCGCAACGCGCGCAGAGTACACAGGCAAGCTCCCCAAACCCTACCTGGGGGGTTGTAGGGTTTAGGGTTTTAGGGTTTAGGGTTTAGGGTTTAGGGTTTTTAGGGTGCAGTGCTTGGGAACTTAGGGAGGTTTGCTTGGGACCCTATTTACCTACAGATTGGTAGTGCCCCCCATATTTAGTGAGTATAGCCCTTAAAACTAAGCCCTTTCGATGTTGCTGCTAAGATGTTTCGGGCAGAAGATTAAGACCGTCGATGCTGAACTCGGAGACCTTTTGCGGAGGGAATCTAGTCCTACAGCCTTTTTACCACCTCAACATGGCTTCAATAGTCCCCATCTACAGGAGTAGGCCCAATAAAGTGCATGAAGTCCCTAAAACACCTACTGGATGTCGGGTTTATGGTTTAGGCTGTGGGGTTTCGGGTTTAGGTGTATGGGGTTGTTCGGGTTCAGGGTTTATCGGGGTTCTTGTTGAGATGCTTGGTCCAAGCCACCATGCATAATCAGGAAGTTTCATTCTTCACACCTGTATATCATGCTTGTTTTACGTTTCATGGGTTCCCCTACTATCCCCCTCTATATGCCCCCCAGATTCCCTCTCAAATAGCCGTAAGTAGGATTAGCTATTTCTAGATCAGCCTTGATTATGGGGGGGAACCTAGAGGGGGTAGAAAACAGGAGAAGGGGGTGGGGTGGGGCAAAGATCATACCTATGGTTCGGGGTTCGGGGTCATGGCAAAGTAAGAGAGTCCTACAGCAGCGGTTTAGAGCTCACAGAAAGGCCCAGCTTGTCCGAATAGCCCAAAACCTTATCTTCATAGGTCACCCTGCGAATGAATCATGTGCATTTGTTATTTTGTGGTTCACATGGCAGCCGTGTTGGGCTTATTCTGCACTGCTGTTTTGGTTTAGCTCCTGGTACAGCTCCACGCTGCTTCATCGGAGCAGGATGCTGCGCATCCGCATGCTCTCTGGGGCAGTGGTAAGCATGCCTGTGGAGGAGGTGAGCTGCGTGAGGGAAGCGAAGCGGCGACTACAGCAGCTGCACGGCATGCCACCCCGCTTCAGGCAGAGGCTCTGCCTCCACGGCACTAATCTGGATGATGCTACTGAGCTAGATTCTCCCCTGGAGTTGGACCTCATGCTGCAACCTTTCTCCGACACTTCCGAGACGGAGGTAAACGAGCTCGTAGCTGCCGCCAGAGATGGCTTAGTGGAAAAGGCGGGTGTTTAGAATTCCCGCTTTGTTTGGCTAGTTGGCCCTGTGAACCATACAATACTGCCTGACCTAGCTAATAAGGGGTTAGCAGGCCAACAGTTAGAAACCGTCAGGTTGAGACCATGCTGCGTCTCCCTCAAGATCCAAATCTGGCAGACGAAGGCGATCCGGGGCCAATCTTACAGGCGTCTGAAGCAGGCCACATCGAAGTCGTGCGTTTGCTGATGGAGGCCGGTGCCAACAGGGATGCGGTGGACATTGATGGCCACACAGCCCTGATTCTGGCAGCTGTAGGCGGCCACATTGAGGTGGTGCGTTTGCTGGTGGAGGCGGGTGCCGACAAAGACGTGGCCGACAACTATGACCGCTACACAGCCTTGATGCGGGCAGCCGAGAACGGCCACATGGAGCTGGTGCGGTTGCTGGTGGAGGCCGGCGCTCGGCTTGACAAGGACCTGACCGACGAGGACAAGTGTGGCTTTGCAAGCACCACAGCCCTGATTCTGGCAGCTCTCGGCGGCCACATTGAGATGATGCTGTTGCTGATGGAGGCTGGCGCCGACAAGGACATGGAAGACGATGATGGCTACACAGCCCTGATTGCGGTAGCTCAAGGCGGCGACGTTGAGGTGGTCGGATTGTTGGTGGAGGCTGGCGCCGACAAGGACCTGACCGACAACGAAGGCTACACAGCCCTGCTGAGAGCAGCTGAAAACGGCCATGTTGAGGTGGTGCGGTTGCTGGTGGAGGCTGGTGCTGACAAGGACGTGGCCGACAACTACGGCTACACTGCCCTGCTGAGAGCAGCTGAAAACGGCCATGTTGAGGTGGTGCGGTTGCTGGTGGAGGCTGGTGCTGACAAGGACGTGGCCGACAACTACGGCTACACAGCCCTGCTGAGAGCAGCTGAAAACGGCCATGTTGAGGTGGTGCGGTTGCTGGTGGAGGCTGGTGCTGACAAGGACGTGGCCGACAACTACGGCTACACAGCCCTGCTGCGGGCAGGTGGAAACGGCCAGGTCGAGGTGGTGCAGTTGCTGGTGGACGCCGTCGCCGACATAGACCTGACCGACAATGAAGGCTACACAGCCCTGATGCGGGCAGCTGAAAGCGGCGACATTGAGATGGTGCGATTGCTGGTGGAGGCCGGCGCCGACAAGGACCTGCTAGACGATGACGGGTTCACCGCCTTGATGCATGCAGCTGCAAACGGCCACGATGAGGTGGTGCGGTTGCTGGAGGCCGACACCGGCAAGGACGCGGCTGACAGCTGTGGCTCAGCTTTGATGCAGGCACCTCATACAGTAACTTGGTAGCCCAGTGGTACCCTTTCCTCTTTTTTTGTGTGTT